CAACGGTAGCTCATGGCAGCCCACTGCAGCCTACTCCGTCAGGGGTAACTCACCGCCTCCCAGCTCCAGGTCGAGCTGTTGTTCACCATCTTAGCTGTAGAGGGCGCAGTGTCACTGGCCTCATGTGGTATCCAAACTGGGACCCTGCTGCTCAGCTCACACTCCCAAGCCAACTCTTAACCAATGCGCCACTCTGTTGGCCCCTAACTTCTTCTTCTTTCTTTTTTTAAATTAAAGTTTTTTTTGGTGACAATGGTTAGTAAAGTTACATAGATTTCAAGTGTACAATTCTGTAATACATCATCTATATATCACATTGTGTGTTCACCACCCAGAGTCAGTTCTCCTCCCATCATCCTATATTTGAAACAGTAAGTTTCTTAGAAGAAAACATCATTTCATGAAGTAGTTGAGGATTTCTTAAACTTGCTACAAAATATACTATCCAAGGGAAAGACTGAGAAATTGGACTGCATTAACATTGAGAACTTCTGCTCATTGAAAGACCACTCTAAAGAGAGTGAAAAGGCAAGCCACATTCAGAGAAAATGTTGGTCGTATGTATATCCAGTACAGGATTTGTGTTCAGAATATATAAAGAACTCCGTCAAATAAATAAGAAAAAGGTACCCTACTTAATAAAAAATGAACCAAAGACTTGTACAGGTACCTTGCAAAAGATCTTCAAATAGCCATAAATATATGAAAAGACACTCAACTTGAGTTATTATGCATAAAACCCCAGTGCCACCTCCCCATATATATGCCCAGCGGAATGGCTCCACTGGAAAAACAAAGGACAGCAGGCGTCGGAGGAGCTGTGGGGCTGCCGGAGCCCTCCGCTCACACCGCCTGGCGGTTTGGCTGTGGGCGAGCCGTTGCTGGCCTGGCCTGTGTTGTGGGGTCGCAGTTTGCACATCCCAGGTCACTGCGAGTATGCGGGTTACATGAAGCCCCTCACACAGAGCCAGGCATGTAGGTCATGTGCCGCCGTGGGAGCTTCTAGAATCTTCTTTTCAGGAAGTTACTGCCCTGTTCTCTCCCCTGGGGTTGTCTATAAGGGCCTCCTCACAGTCACTGGGATTTTTTCAGAGCTTAGTTGATGAAACAGTGGTGATAACAGTATTGATAATAGCGACTGGCAGCTTAGATGCCTGCCTTTTCCTTGTGTATTCCTCCTAACAGCACCACAGTAGGCAGGTACTAAAGCCTTAAGGGACTTAAAATGTTCCCATTTTGCAGGCGAGAGAACTGAGGTGCAGAGATTAAGCCACTTGCTCAAGACCACCCAGCTACAACCAGACGTTCCACTTCTTGCTCTGGTTTCTCTGGACCTTCTCCTCACTCCTCCCCTGAAGTCTCCTTTTTATGACTGTTTGCATCCAGCCTGAGTGCTCCTTCTGAAGTGCTGGAATATTCCTTGTGTAATTTAATAATGATGTTAATAACGGGCCCCGTGATAATGACCACAACGTAGTAATAGTCATAGCAGCTAGCCTTGCGTCTGTCGAGTGATTACCGTGTGCCAGATGCCAGCGAACCCCTGCAGCAACCCTGCAAGGGGCCCTGCCTGTGACTGCCACTTTATAGACGCCGAGCTCCAGAGAGTCAAGTGCCTTGTCCAAAGGCCACAGTTAGGAAGCGGCAGGGCCGGGGTCAGCCCCAAGGCTGTCTGTTGGACTCTTAAAGCCCAAGCTCTTCACTACCGCTCTGTGCTGCCACTTGCTGTGTTTGGCTTTGGGCCCTTGACCACCATGTTCAGTGTTTGCATGTTGTGATGTCACTCATGTTCATGAAGATGGTCCCCTGCTATCCCCCCCCCATTGGGCATTTATTGAGTACCTACTGTGTACCAGACATTTTGGAGTATATTGAGGTCACCAAGATCAATAAGATGGTACTCCTGACCGCAATGAACTCAGGTCTTGTGAAGGAGGCAGACCATTTCAAACGAGGGTGGTCTGTGCAGCAGAAAACGCATATGGGTACAGAGGTGCCAGAGAGGAGGGGGCAGTCAAATCCATTCGGGCAGGAGAGCAGGGAGGTTCTTTAAGGAAGGCCTTTTACCAAGAGGCGCATGAGCTGGGTTTTGAAACAGGAGTCAGAGTTTGCTGATCGGTCAGGGCAGCAAGGGCACTCCAGGCAGAAAGCGCGGTGAATAAAATCAGGGCTAGTCGTACAGATCTTAAACTCTATCCCTATGGGGGGATCTTCAGAGCAGACCCACTCCCCTGGGCCACTGCCTCCCAGGAGTGTGATAGTGAGATGCTAACGGATGCCCCCCTCTACACAGAAGGAGACGCCAGAGTGGGGAGAAGCTGTCCCTGCCGTGGCACCAACAGTGCCTGTCACGGCAGGGAGTGGGCATGCTGGGGACTGCGTGGAGAGTGTCACTGCTGGCCACAGTGTGAGTGTTGCAGTGGCTCGGAAACTCTCGTGGTCGCTTGTTCAAAATGCATGCAGATTTGGGGCCCTGCACCAAGGAGCCTGTGGGTTGCTCTGCAAGAGATGGGCGTGCCTCAGCTGCTTGTCCTGATGTGCCACCTGTACTGTGGACAGGAAGCTGCTTCCAGGACCGAGTATGGAGAGACAGAATGGCTTCCTGTAGACAAAGGTGTCAGACAAGGGTGCATTTTTATCTCCCCATTTGTTTCATCTGTGCACAGAACATATCATATGAAAAACTAGGCTAGCTTCAGAGGAAGGAGTGACAATTGGTGGAAGAAATATCAATAACTTAAGATGTGCAGAAGACATCATCTTATCGGCAGAAAGTAGCAATGATTTGAAAAGACTTCTGATGAAAGTGAAAGAAGCACCAAAGCAGGACTCGCATTTGAACATCAAGAAGACAAAAATCATGACCACAGAAGAAATGCACAACTTGAACATCGACAGTGCAGATACCGAAGTTGTTAAAGGTTTTGCTTACCTTGGTGCAGTCATCAAGTCGAGTGGAGACTGCAGCCAAGAAATCAAGAGAAGGCTGAGCCTCGGAGGGACAGCAATGGAAGAATTAGGAAAGATCACCAAGAACAAAGCTGCGTCATTAGAGACCAAGGCTGAGACCACCCACACTCTCATATTCTCAGTTACTGTGTATGGATATGAAAGTTGGACAGGGAAGAAGGTCGATAGGAAAAAAAATGGATTTATTTGAAATATGGTGTCAGTGGAGAGAAAGACGGATAAGTGGGTCCTAGAGCAAATGAAGCCTGAAACATGGCTGGAGGCAAAAATGAGAAAACTGAAGCTGTCCTACTTTGGCCACAGCAGGAGGGAGGGTCCTTTGGAAAAGACAGTCATGCTGGGAAGATAGAAGGCAGCAGGGAAAGAGGGAGACCGAATATGAGATAGATGGAGTCCATAAAAGAAACCCCAGGCAGGAGTCTGCAGGAGCCGAGCAGGGCCGTGAGGACAGGAAGGACACTGTGGATATCACTCATTAATAGGATCACCTGGAGTCAGAGACGACCCAACAGCATGTATCACACCCAGGAGTCAGTTCTGTTGGTCTGGGGTGGGGAGCTAGAATCTGCAACTTAGGTGATTCCCATGCAGGAGGCCTGTGAACCACAATCTGAAAAACTGCCCTTTGAGCCTTTCGGGGAAGATGAGTCGAAGAGACATGAAGACAGAGATTCACGAGTCAGACCTCTGGTGATTCATTCCAGGGTGGTTGAATGCTGTGTAGTTGCCTTTAAACAGAGGAAACTGGCCTCTGCTCCCATGCACAACCCTGCCGATAGCATTGGGCACGGGCGGTGGAGATTTCTCGTTTGGGAGGCCTATTCTAGTTATTGCATGGTAAAAGTTGCATGCAATTTTTAATGAAAACCCAGCCCTCTTAAGCAGCTGATTGCTCCTTATGTTCCATCTGCAAGGTTCTACCCATTATATCATACCCCTTTTAGAGATTTTCGATGGGATGAGTATCTCTTGTCTTTCCCTGTCTTACTTTTACCAGCCCCCGCCCCCAAACTGAAAGTGGCCATAAAAGAAGTCAGGAGGTAACTTCCTGAGTAGCTCCCTCTTGGTACCCCCTTTTCCTTCCCAAGCCTGAGGCTCCCGCGGCAGCGGAAGTTACCTCAGTCTGTGTGCCGTGGCGATTCTATCCCAGGCAGCATTCCCAGGGCATCCTGCCAGGCTGCTGGCCTCACTGCTCAGGACTGGCCTCTGCGACTCTTTCAGTTGCCCTCACCACCAGCAGAGGGCCTGGAGGACTGGCCTGGGCCTTCCTGTCTCTGCCCCCGGCTGGTACAGGGCAGGGCTGGGGCAGGTCTGGAGCAGCGTAGGCCTTCCGAGATCATTTGGGTTGGGGAAGTATGGTACTCTAGTCTCAAGCCCACTTGACTTTGTGAATTCAACAGTCTGTACTCAGCAAATAAGATCGGTGCCCTGCACACAGCCCACTTCATGAGCGCCGTCAATTCTGATGGGTGGGCTGCAACTCATGGGGGATCATGGGCAATCTAAGGGTAACCTTGATTGCACATGATTTTTACCCCAGGTGCTGGCTTTGAGACCCACCCTCCCTGAACTGACTCCACCTCTTGCGGGTCTTGTCTTAGGCATTCAGCCCTGAGCCTCGGGTCTCCACTGGCTCCACTAGCATCAGAGTCACCTGCGGAGTGTGTGGAAAGGCTGACGCCTGGGCTTCCCTCAGTAACCCCGAATCTGATCTCCGGGTGGGCTCCCATACCCTACTTTATCCAGCTCTCCAGCTGACTCCCTTACCCACTCGAGTTTGAGGATGGCTGTCTTCAAGGGCTTGAGCATTCTCTCGCCTCAGTTTGGGTTGGCGTGTCCCTGGTTACTTAACTCTGCAAAGCATTGTCTGCCATTTTTCTTGAGTGGTGAGCTCTGTCTCATCTGGATGGGGATTGTGCTAACTGGATGGCTCTGAAAGCACAGCTGTAACGTCCCCCAAGTGTTACTAATGGTCATTGGGCCGGCTTTCATTTCAGTGGGTAATCTTTCTTTTCTTTCCTTTCTCTCAGGTATCTTTACAACGTTTTGACCAAAAACACCACAGTCACAGAACAGAACCGGAACCTTCTAGTGGAGACCATCCGTTCCATCACCGAGATCCTGATTTGGGGTGATCAGAATGACAGCTCTGTATTTGAGTAAGTGTTTCTAAGGTTTTCTGATTCTCCTTCTTCCTGTGAATGTTTTCCTAAATGCATATCATGAGTTATTCCTGATGATGTCAGAATTTGACACCCATTTGGTCCTGCACAGATACATATCTATATCTCTCTATGTTTATAAAATGTCCTTGAAACGCTGTAGAAATGCAGGCTGAAAATGGGGAAGTTATGGAAATGAGTCTCTCTAGAAAATCTGAAAATATCGTGGGTAATTTTCCTAGTGGTGTCTGATTATCACGCCCAAGGAAGGAGACAATGTCCTGGGTAGTTAGACGCTGAGTGAGCTGAAAGGACCCTGCCCTGGGGGAGACACTCAGGGTGGACATTTACTGTGTTTGCTGATGGGCGAAGAGGCACAGTGTGAGCTCTGGATGAGACAATCCCCCTACGCCTCTCAGGGACCCCAGGGTGGAGGCCCTGTTGTCCCTCCCGTCCGTCCATGTGTGTGGCCACACAGCTGGTAAGTGACAAAGCAGCGCCCCCTGCCAGAGCCCAGGGGTTTGTCCTCATTCTCAGTCTTAGGCCAGCCTCAGTTTCCTCGTCTCTGAAGGAGAGAGAGCAAGTTCCCTGCCTAGTGCCTGGTATGGGGTAGGCACTAAGAAATGTTAGCAGTTCATAATAAAAAAAGGTGTCCCTGCTGGATGGTTAAAAAGAAAAGGCCATGAACTACTTCCCCAGAAGACCTGTCTCAGTGTCTAAGTGAAGAGAATTTGGGTTATGACAAGCACCAAAGACAGATTTTATTTTTATATAAAATAATCTCAATTATAAGTATTGAGGCCACTTTAAAACCCATTTTTAAAAAATACGGGTATTCCATTTCCAGCCTGGCTTTTAGATATCCTGATTTTCCGGGTAGCTCTGTATTGTCATCAGGTTATCTAGGATAAAGCTGCTTGTGGAACGCGTAAACCTGTGACACTGGTCATGAGCCCCAAAGGACAACATGAGTAATAAAGTGAGGAGTTGCTTACAGACGGGACCCGCTTCCTTTAAGGACCCGTGGGGAGTTGGTTGGTTGGTTGGTATCTTTTTGAAAATGAAAGGGACCCTTGCTTTAAAGATTAGAAACTTTGCCCTCCTTTACTAAATGGACTTTCTTAGTCCATCCGTCAGCTTAGAAAAACTCCTGAGTGCTTAGATGTCCAGTGATTTTTAAATGGCTGCCTGACATGGTCCCCAAAAGGATTTGTTTTTAATACTTTTTTTTTATTATTTTGGAGTAATTTTAGATTTGCAGAAAAGTTGTGAAGATAGTAGAGGAAGTTCCCATGTACCCCTCACCCTGCTCCCCCATTGTTAACATCTTAGATTACCAGGGTGCTTTTGCCAAATCTGAATAGCTGACATCGGTACCTAAATACTAAGTAAACTCCATACTTGATTTGGATTTTGCCAGTTTTTCCATTAATATCCTCCTTTTTTTTTTTTGCTCTAGGATCCCAGTCCAGGCTCCCACAGTGCATTTCGCTGTCACATCTCCCCAGGCTCCTCTGGTCTGTGACAGTGCCTTAGTCTTCCCTTATCTTTCAAGACCTTGACATTTTGAGGAGTACCTACTCCACTTGGGGGCGTGGGAATGAAGCCCTGCCTTCTGGAAGGGGGGAGTATCTACATATATTATTTGAAATTTTTGTGCATGGAAGATTCGTTTCTTCTCCCCAGTTATTTATTTATTCAATCATTTATTTGTAGCAATATGAACGCGTGGGTATTTATTTTACACTTTGGATTACAATCCAATACTGTGCCGCTCATTTTGTTGCTCAGTTTGTTCCAGCTTGCCCACCGGGTGCCCTTCCAGTTGGGTCCCTGTATCCCTTTGGCACGCCCCCATCCTTTTGGTTTTTGAGCACCCCCTTACTTTCTGGTGCTGTGGGATGCCCCAGGCTCATTTGTATTTTACCTGCTGCAGCCTTAGAATTAGTCATTTTTCCAAGGAGTACCCCCTCTCCCCCCCACCACTCCCCTAGGTTGTCTTTGAAAATCCAGGCCCTTGACTTCACGCTAGACCTAGGGAATCGGTCCATCCCTGGGCAAGCTCTCGGTGCAGCCATTTTAGTAAGTTCCCGAGTTGGTCATCGTTGTGCTGCGGTGAGCTTGTTGGGTGATACTTGGCAGACAGGTAAACAGAATAGGTCAAATGATAGGACTTTCCTGGGGGTCAACGTGAAGGCTCCCAAAATCAGAGTTGGAAAAGATTTTCACGATCTGTTTTTAGGTGACTTATTTATTCATTTACCCTTTCATGGATTCAAACAGAAGTTATGCAGCCCATAGTCGCACCACCATGGAGCTGACAGCTGAGGGGAGAGAGACACTAAAATTAGGTCAACCAGCAGACACACGTGGCTGCAGGAATTTGCTTGGAGTGTCCCAAATGAGAGGTTATGTAGTCTTAGCTCGAATTCAGAGAGCACGTTACCAGAGACATCACTTTCTTCCTTTAAAGAAAGACGTTAGGGGGCGCAGCCTCCTTTTGAAGACTAAAAGAGTCAACGTGTACCCCCAAGAGTCATTGCTTCCAGGATCCATACAGACAAACATCCTGTCCAGAATAATAAAGGCCATTGCAGACTTGGGGACAGGCTAGGGTCCCCCCCATATCAGCATCTTCTTGTTTCTCCCAGTTCTTCTTCCCTAGATATGGAAACTACAAACTTGACAATTTGGAAACCGGAACCCTTAATGTTCAGTGTTATCTTGCCCCTTTGTAGGGAATTCCCATTGTTGTTTAACTCTCAGAGACACGGAGAGCAAAGGAAAGAGGCTCAGGAAGGAAAATGAAGGCTAAAAAATGTTTGCTAGAAAGTGCTGCTTGTTGGGTGTAATAAGCACCGATTACCATGTAATCGTTTAGTAGGTAAAGCTCTCTCCCATTCTGTCAGAAACCCAGTTCACTGCTTCCCGGAATCAACACTGTTCTCACATTCTGGGAAGAGAGCTTGGAAGGTTGCATTTGCTTTGGTGGAAGACGGCATCGCGGGCGCTGAATAGCAGGGAAGCCGAGACCGTGCAGGTGGCGTGGTCTGGCTGCTCTGCGGATGCCTTTGGGGGGTCGGGGCTACACGTGTGCTATGCATGTAGCCGGGGATGACGTGGAAGCAAACCACCGACGCTTTCCGATTCTCTCCCCAGCTTCTTCCTGGAGAAGAACATGTTTGTTTTCTTCTTGAACATCTTGCGGCAGAAATCAGGCCGTTACGTGTGCGTTCAGCTGCTGCAGACCCTCAACATTCTCTTTGAGAACATCAGCCACGAGACCTCACTCTGTAAGGACCGTCCTCGGCCCCTGCCCCTGCACCATGGAGTGTCGGCCGCGTGTGGCTTGGTGTGGCTCTTGTGTTGTCGTTTTGAACGTCTGTGCGTACTGTGTGTCTTCGTGCGCTTGGGCTGCCGTGACAAAGTACCCCAGACTTGGTGGCTTAGACAACAGAAATCTGTTTTCTGGAGGCTGAAGTCCAAGGTCAAGGTGCTGTCAGGGTTGCTTTCTGATGAGGCCTCTCTTCCTGGTTTGCAGATGGCGGCTCCCT